GCCATAAATCATTTCTCGAGAAGTGGTAGAAAATTTCATTTTTAAGAGAAAATTGGTTAGTTGAATTTCGAATCTCGGCGAGTAATCGCTGAATTAAGAGAAAAATTTAAGAAAAAAAAAGAAAAAAAAAGAAAGTAAAGATCTCTTTAGAAAGCGGTGGGTCGCTCGTAGTGAGCTTGTGCGCGCCCGCGTGCGTATTTATAGGCGATCGAAAGCACGTAATGTGTGCACTTTTGCGATTGAATAAAGTCACTTGCTGTAACCTAAGATTAAGCAATATTCTTAAGAAATAAAACACAGCGAGAATAATGTTCAAAAAATTTGTTTCGCGTCAGAATGTATTGCTTTCAATGTTCTTTTATCATTTAACGCCGCAAGGGAAAAGAATATTTGCAACGATTTTTGGCACAGGAGGCTTTTTCCCTTCTGCTTAGCTTCGCGTGGCCGCGCCCGATCGCCAAATTGCTGATTCTTTCTTATTAATATGAACGACCGTGTAATAACTCAACTAATTGTTCAAGCTGCCTTGATTAAAGGGGACTGGGGTTATGACAGCGGCGGCTGCTGCTGCTGTTATTGTTGTTGTTGTTGCTGCTGCTGCTGTTATTGTTGTTGTTGTTGCTGCTGCTGCTGCTGCTGCTGCTGCTATTATTGCTGATGTCGCTGCTGCTGCTATTGTTGCTGATGCCGCTGCTGCTGTTGCTGCGACTGCTACCGCTGCCGCTGTGGAGGAAAAAAGGTGAGAGGAAAGGTGAAAGCCGAAGGGAGAAGGTGGAGCGCGATTAGACGAGCGACGCAATCGATGCAACATTAACGTCCTCGCAGAGCCAAGTGCGCGAGGAGGCCGACCGGCCATATTGTGGACGGGGCATTAAAATGTCCAGCTCGTTTCTCGTGAGCGATCGTTGTTCGCATAACGAACCTCTCGCGATTGCCCGAAGATTCTCCGAACTCGTTGTTTCCTCTGACAACCCTCACTCCCTCCCATCCCATCTCGGTCTACCTCGCCCCATTCGGTATCATCGTTGGAAGGATTAAAGGAGGTGGATGATGGGCAGCTGCGATCGTCAATGAAACAGGAACCGGGCGAGAGTGGCCGCAATATGGCAAATAGGTAATTGAAGAGGTGACGCGGCACGGCCGCGATGAGAAGCTGTGGGTTTTATGGGATATTGGGTATGAAATGAGCAAAGGCCGTTTCACATCGTGGAGCAGGGAATTATCTGGCCGCGAGCCCAGATTTCTAAATTTATAACCCCCGCGGCTGGGCTGCGTGCGCGCGGCATAGGGAAGCGATCGCCGACGACATTTTTCGCCCAATAAAAAGCCGAGTGCACAAGCTGCTAAATGAACTCGGTATACTTCGGTCCGTCTCGTTTCGCGAATTTTATGCCTTCGAACACTTGCCCCTTCTCTCTCTCTCTCTCTCTCTCTCTCTCTCTCTCTCTTCATGTCCTGCTCTCGTCGCAATATGGATAAGTTATTTTCAGGCCGAAGTCGGCACGGGTTTGTACGCTTCTTTTTTTGCTTGATACGCACACCGAGTTTTCAGAACGTGAGGCTGCCGATTTTTCTTTACGTTTTCTTCTTCATTGTGCCGTCAATTGTGACGAAGATTCGCCTAGCTATCTCTTTGTCTTATTAAAAGAAAAAAAATCTCAATACAAAAGCAATAAAAAACAAAGACATAAGTATTACGATATTATTAATAATAAATGTAGCACGCGCGAAACAATTTTATATATCCTCTCTACAAACGAATATCAATTACTTTATAACTTTCGACATTATTGTTTGTAAAACTATTCAAAAATTTCTTTTGCGCCCCTAAATTGATATAAAAAATGACGACAAAAACAATAAAATACTAATAATTAGCCATTATTTCCTGATTCTCGTATTTCATTGATCTTAATTAAACTAGTGTAAAACGAAATTTTTTTTTATAATCCACAATTTTAATAACACGAAATATCATTTTACGTTGTAACACAAATTATTTATCATTTATAATACTCACCATCGAATTTAAGATGATAGTTATCAAATTAATAATACTAACTTTCATTGATACTTAATAATACTTTTCTCTTTTTTTAGTCATAACCGATAATAATAATTTTGGAATTTTTTTTAAAACCAAACATAATTTCTAAAAAATTGTCGTTTTATTTTTATTATTATGATTATTATTGGAATAAAATCAATTCAAATTTAATTATACGATTTTAAATAACTGACATGAGAATTCATAGCTGAAAATATTAAACTTCATTACGTTCTTATTATTATAGTTTTTCAAAATATTTCTTATATGGAAATAAAACCTATTTCTGATGAATAACTCATCATAATTTATAATTGATAGAATTTGGAGAAAAATGATGGTTATGATAAAAGTGTTAAAATAGAAAGTATGAAAATGATAATTAATGTTTCATCCATCATATTTAGCATAAAATACTCATCTGTCAATGTAAGACTTTTTAAATTAACTAATAATATTTTCTATTTAACAATTAATTATTGATTATCTAAGAATATAATAAATAGCTTCTTATAAAGTTCGTACCATAAAAATAATTAAGAATATATATATATGTGTGTGTGTGTGGTATTTCTACATCATTTTATTGGTTTCATTATAATAAATGAATAAATAAAGCAACGATGCTCTCTTGTACTCTATTTTTATCGATTTAGCATTGCCGTTGTTCAATTTTGTTATACCAACCATATAATGCTCAATTAAATAAATTTGAAAAGTATTTTGATGCAACTTAGTAACCTTACATAGAATAAGTGTATGTATGTTTGTGTGTTATGAAAAAGCATATTAAGTATAGTGTGCCCATTATAAATATCAATTCGAAATATATTTATCGATGCTGAAATTAAATGGAAAATTAAAACATTAAATTTTGTAGTACCATGGGTAAAATACTTATGGATTTTTTTTCATCCATGATTATCGTTATGATCTATTGCGTACAAAACCATTTGAAATGCGGTTTGTTATAGAAATTACAAAGAAAAATTGTTTTACTGCAATCATTTATAATTTATTGAGTTATAAAATGTATTATACTATCAATTATAAATATGAAAAATCAATATAGGTATTACACATCCACGTAATTGAAAAAATAATTTCATAATTACTAATTACGCTTATTTTTCCATACAATTGATTTCTTACTAATTTACGATTTAACTTTAAATTAATTTGTTTGGTAAATTTAAGTGCTTTGTAATCAAAACCTATATACACTTTGCAAACAACGTGACTTGACCTTTGTGCTCTAGGTAACTGCTGTTAATAATAAAAATTTCATCTTTTCATACAGTCACTTACGATAAAATGACAGAATGGACTTGTTTCTTCAAAGGAGCTGAAAGAAATAAGTGCGCTATTGTCGCATTAAAAAGAAGTGCCGAATTTTCCTATTAATAAGAAAAATGTCGACTGCTGTTCATTTGATTTTTTTGAAAAATATCAGCGGCATTTGCACACTTATCACATACATATAATATAGCGAATAACTCAATTTTTATATGAATTTATATAATAACCATGCAAAACAAAAACGCTTAAATCAATTGGTTTTGAAAATTAGTGGAAGTGCTGTGGTGTAAATGAAAACGGAATAGCTGATTGTAAGTTTTATAAATTTTATCCTTAAATATGAAAAAAGAATTAAAAATACAAACAAAATGAAAATACTGCAATTTCGAAATAAATTCAGTTTAACGCATAAACCAATATAAAATATATAAAATGAATTTCTAATCTTCGCAATAATAATCCCTGACAGTTCATTAAAATTATACGAAAAAAATTAATTCTTTAATTACAAAATTTTCCATGCAATTAATTACGGCCTAGTACAATATTTGAAATGTCAAATTTATTTAAAAATTAATAATGAAGAATATGAGCATTTGATCTGAACGGTATGATACAAATAAATGGCGTTATAATTGTTGACATATGGATGTCGGGTGAAAATGTCGTACAGCTAGATGAGAAAATTATACGAAATTTGCAGTAGAAAGAAAACGGCCCGAATTAAACGGGATTGGAAAATGTGTAAGTCATTTAAATTTTCGAAACTCCCCTAGCGAGTCTTCGGCATTTCTCATACCACTGCAGCATGCAGCTTGGGTATGAAAATACGCGTGATGACGCATAGCAGCAGCAGCAGCAGCAGCAGCAACAGCAGGAGCAGCAACAGCTACTACTTGCAGACCTGCACGTCCCTTTTCTACGCCAGCCCTCTTTTTTACCCCCTTCCCCCTCCTCTCAATCAGCGGGTTTGCTATATAATATGGCGAAGCGAATTAATGACTCGCGACTAAAGTTAAAGTGCGAACGGCGCCAGATTTCGTTTTTCTTTTGTTTAAACACTCTTACTTTTTACATCCATCCAAACACGAAAATTCACTTGTGGTGTTTTTAATTTTCCCTTATCATTTCGACAAGATTGTCTTTATTATCATGTAGTAGTAGTATCATTATCATCATCATCATTATTATTATTATTGTTGTTGTTTTTGTATTTGTGTTGTTGATTTATATTTTCAAAGGACCAATAAAGCATACATTATTTACAAACGACTTTTGCGTTATAGCTTTTTAATTATGCTAGGAACTAAAGAAGTTTATTATATTTTACAATTATAATTCTAAAAGTTTCTTTTTTTTTGAATCATTGAATTGCGACCACGCAAATTAATTTATTCTGAAATAATGGAAAAACAATTTGATATACACATACACAATACACACACATACGTAAACACACACGCATATATCAAATATGTATTGTATATGTACATATATATATATACACACATAGGCGTATATGACAAGTATGCATTTTGAGATATATGTATATATATTATTCATATATATATATATATATATATATATATATATATATAAACGACTCCTCTTAATAAAATTGAATGAATAATTTGTTATTTAGTTTTAAGAAAATGTGTAAGTGATAATTATTTTTTATATAAAAATGACTATTACAACTTAAGTGCTGGCTTTCAATCGAAAGCATATAGATACTTACTAAAGGAAACAAAGATTTTACACATTTGTTTAACTTTCAGAAAGAAACCTAGGACATCTAAGCTTTACACACAGATAGCAAAAGAATTACTTGCGGACTTATACTGGATTGTACTCTGACTAATAAAAATATTAAAAAATCTATAATAGTAGAGTTTGACAACCTCCTTGGAAATTCACAAATACAAAGCATACATAACCATTCATTCAATTTATATCTTTTCTCGGAACTTGCACACACGCGATTGCTACTTTTATTTACAGTGTAAAAAATTATAACAAGCGCTAGTCATTATTCTCTTCTAACTTGTCTTCTTTTTCTTCTAGGATCAAATGATGATTCTCTTGTTCCTCTTTATCCAAGTCCACCTTTATATTAATATCTTCATTGTGATTTGAGGTTTGATCGTCGGGCTCTATGACAACCATCTCTGTATCCCCATTTTTCTCAGGATTCGGATCACGATTTTCCTCCTCGTCCGGTTCTTCTGTTAACGACTGATCTTGATTTTCAGCGATAGATATATTTTTATCTAACTGATTCTTTCCCAAGCCAACTTGTGCTTGTATTAATTCCAATTCATCGATTAACGATTTTTCTCTCCTATCTATTTCAGCTGTAAGATTAAGGAAAATTTACATTTTAACCGAGTGAAGCTAATCTTATACTTGATTAATTTACACAATTATCATACTAGTTTTAGTACTTTTTAACCTCAGTGTTTAAAAAAAAATTTAGGAAGTATAAGTGCATGCATCAAAAATTAAATATCGAGTGCATTCCTTTGTTATAATCTAGAAGAAAGTAATAAATCACTTTACTTGTGCATTGAAAATTACATTTCCAAAATTTATCTGCAATATTATTATAATACATACATATTAAAGCACTAAAAATGTGCTACGCAAGTAGTATTCCTTTAAGAGAATTTTAATGTAAAATTAATGTAAATTATGAAGATATTCAGACAATACTAAGATTCGAAATTCATCAAAATAAGAAATTACCTCAACATAAACACGAGACTATCATATCAATGATTTAATTATATGACAAAAAACTTGGTTTTATCTCAAATTTTTTATAAACAGTGCTATCGCAATGGAAAACAAACCTTTAAGTTCTTTTGAAGATTCTTGCAGTAATGTATCGGTTTCAGGTGTACTTCGTTTTGGTAAATAATAAATAGCAGGTTGTGCTTTCGTCTTAATGAAATTTAAAAGAGGTACTTGCGCACCACGCCAATCCTGGAATTGCTTACTTCTGGCCAGTTTCGCTTCAAGAGCTTTAACTTGAGCTAATTGCTGCTTTCGATTAAAAAATAACTGCTGTCTTTCTCGCTTTAATTCCTCTTTTTCCCTCCGTTTAGCTTCCTCCACTCGTGCTTCCACTTCTGCCTTTTTATCTTCCTAATTTCAAATGTAAATGATATCGCAATGAAAATGTTTTGAAAATTAATCTTTGGAAGAGCAGTAACATATTTGAGAGAATCGTTGCTCTAATACAGTAAATGCAATACGACTCATTCAACATGTAGATGGACATAGCTGACAAATATGACCCATTATACGCGTGGGTGTTATTATCGAATAGTTTTACCTTTGCTTTTAGCTTCGTTTCTTCTTGGCGAAACTTTTGCAGGGTGCCTAAGAGCGCACCAAACATTCGCTTATTCCTCTGTCTGCTCCTTTCATCCGTGCTCTCTCTACGTATTACATCTTGTCTCGAAGGTATTTCACGGGGTGTAGCTATAACTCTAGAGGACACCGCAGGCTATACAAAATATTATACTTTTATTAAATTGTTTCGATTAAGAAGAATAACTATCTACAAAATATACCATGAGACAAAGTAACTTTACCTTAAATGCATTGTCATCCTCGTCACCACTATCGTCGGCAGTAGATGGAACTCTAGCACTTAGTCGACTAAACACAGTTTTTGGCTCCGTATTGTTACCACCTTGCCATCGTCGCTTAGGTCCAAACTCATTATTCTGAAAGTCTGTTACTTGCCTTCGTCGATCTTCTCGCAAAGGTCGCTTTTGCATAATCCTTAATACCAAACAAATTCCATAAAGTTTGAAATGCATTTTTTTATTACAAAGCACATACAGACACGCACTCTTAATACTAGACCCGCTTAATAGAATCTTAAACCACATTGCCATGCTACATAAGCCTTTCCCTCGAGGACTCTCTCTCTCTCTCTCTTTTGAGAAAAACTTAATCTACACTCCAAATCCAACCACAATATAGCATTGAAAATATCCGTAGGCTTGCTTTCCGTTGCCTTCTTTCATAAAGCTTAAATTTACAACGCTGACTTTGCAAAAGCTCAAATACTTTATTAACCCACCAACGAATGTGATAAACGATTATTTGACAATAGGCAATGGGCGTATAATTCATAAAAAAATTGACTGAATCGAGTCGAATGTGAAAGGCACGTTAAACAAGATTAGAAGCTCTTTCACGCCTTCATCGAGGATATGCGACGAAAATGCAAATCTACGTTAAATAAAACATAAAAACGATAACAGCATTAATCAGAAGAATTATACGTTGGATATCCGTATAATTGAGGTTATGTTTGGTGCAAAGGAATTGACGATGGATTAGAACGAATAGGGAAACCCCTTAGATTGATAGTTACGGGCGATTAGAGTCGTAAATGAAGAAATCGGCTAACCTATTAGCGGTCTGAACGGCGCCATTCTCGCCCTCGGGCACGTCTCTGCCTAAAATCTTCCTGATATTCTTTTCGAGACCACGGAGATCGTCCTTAGCGGCCTCGAGCTCGGCCTCGAGTTTCTCAGCTCCCCACAGCTCCTTCATGATTATCCCTGTAAATGCAAAGACTCCAGCCGGGCCTTATATTTCATCGGTTCTCTAGGACAAGCGGCACCCCAAACCCCAACGTCAGGCCCTCTTCGGCTCCCAGCGATGCACGGGCTTAACGCCGGATTTGTTGTTCCTCGCGCGTGTAATCTGCCATTTTCCGCGTTGCAGGCCAACCGCTGGTAGCGTTTGGTGCGTTCACGTATCACGAGCTGCTCGTCGACGATTCGGCGCGCCGCCGCGCCCCCTTTTCTCTCCTCGCTTCGCCCTCGCGACGTATTACCAAAGCTCTGTCCCTGATCCCTTTCTTCCACCGCCACTACAACCCCCCTGCCCTCCTTGCCGCACCGACCGACATCTTCACCGCCCCCTCTCTCGTTCACTCCCAGCACCCATCGTCGCTCCCCTCGCTCCGTACACTCGTACACCCCCTAGCCCCCCAACCACAGCCCCAGCAAACCCGCAGAGACACACGCGCATCGCCAAACTCTCGAGCACCGGCGCCACGGACTAGGTACATCGAGGCCGGCGACACCTCGCGGACCCATGACTATGGAGGTTGCTTAGACCACTCGTCGCATTTCTACTACGTCTTTCGATGGTATATTTAAAGTACCAGGACGACGATGACTCGAACGTGAAATTAGTCGTAGCCTTCACTACGCTCCTTCTTGTTCTCCTACTACCCTGTGTGTCCTTAAAGCCCTTGCAAGAAAAAAAGCTAAAGGTACGTTAGATGTTGGGAGAGAGACAGAGAGACGATACTCGTCCTCGTCGTCGTCGTCGTCCTCGTCGTCGTTTGTCGACAGGGCGATTTGATTTATTCATTATCCTAATGGCAAATGAATCGAACGAAACAGATGTCAAGCCAAGCACTACTTCTTATGCGTGCAAAATGTGATAGATCGGAGAGGTGTCGGGGCCATTATTGGCTATTATTAGCTATTAGGTGCGCCGGTCGGTTAAATTGAATATTGTAATTAACGGCGACCGTTTATTTAACGGCATTGCCATGATTATGTTAATGCCCGGGTGATAATTATCGTATAAGTACCTCGGATAGGTCGATTGGGGACGAGCAAAACAGCCTGGCCTAACGAAATGAATCCGTTGTATCCGAGATATGTATCCGAGGATTTTAATAGCGGAACTTTACTTTAATAATCGATTGGATGGTAAAAATTTCCTGATAATTAAACTTGGGAGCTCGACCAGGCATCTGATCATAATCGGACGCTTATAGACGGAGATTGTGAACAATTCATAAAGCATATATACTTTTCCCATATAATTTACTCCAAATGAAATTGGTGTACAATCATTAATCTCTCTCTCTCTCTCTCTCTCTCTCTCTTTCTCTCTCTCTCTCACTCACTCACTCTATCTTTTAAACAATCTTACGTCAAATGAAAAAGTGCTTTTTATTTGTTATTATTTTTAAAATATTTCAAACGCAATAAATTATGGAAAAACAATGTAACACTATGAGAGGAATAAATTTTTACAAATAAAAATTTCTCCTCTAATTAATACGATGCAACAAACTTCGATTGTTACAATGAACATTCACGACCAAAAATCCCCCCGTTATTGAATATACATTGTGATTATAATTTTACTTTTTATAGACTCAAATACAAATTTAAGCCATAGTTAATATATCCTACGTTTAAATTCATTTATTTTGATGACTTTAATTATATATGAGATAATGTTAGTCTATCAATGAACTAGATCTTTTCACCTTCCTTCGATCTTTATATTCAACGATTGACGAATAAAATGTACCCTGTAAAATCTCACAAAGAAATAACAATCTTTTTAAAAGAAAATAAAAATAAATAATTACATTGCAATAGGCAAACGAGACTTATTACTTCACTATAGACCATCACACGATATTAAATCGAGAATTCGAGATTTCTTATTAATATATAAGAGGAAACGCGCTCGCTCTATTTTATCTAAACATGTGCATTATTATGCCTCTCCATTCCTAAATAATTGTTAAGTATTTCAAATATTTTTCAAATTTTATTCCTGTAATTATTATAGAAATAAGGTAGCCTTCTATTCCCTATTAAAATTAAAAATTATAAAAGTAAACATGCAGTATACTAGTATACATATAGTAAACATTGCCCGCGCGTGTAAATAAGAAATTGTATTAAAATTTATAGTATTAGTTTATATATTATATTAACTAATATATTGATATGCATACAATTTTTACATACAGTATGTGTAAACGTGACGATTTATTGGTAAAATAGATTTTACCAATAATTTTTTTTTTTTTTAAATTGAATTTCCCGCTTGAAATGCTACGCAGTGATTCAAGTTGTCAATTTCTCTCGTTTGGTCAGTACTTTCAAATAGTCGCAGAGACCTTATGATGAAATGCTATTTACCTAACAACTGTTACGCGCATCCTTTAAAAAGGATATTACAGGCATAACATAATGGCACTCTTATATCACACTCCATAAATCTCTTTTATTTCACCTTTTCAGTTTAATAAACATAAGCTTTTCTCATATCGAGCGTGTCGGGCGTGGTGATACGAGTAAAGAACGTTTCTCCAATAAGAAAATTTAATTATTAATAATACGTGTGAGTGTGTGGGTACATGGGTGCATGCGTGGAATGTGTACAAAACCAATATTGAAATAATATGTAAATACCATTTTTTAAATAATCTTATTTAAACATTTAGATTATACATAATATACAAAACAAAACAAAAAAATGCTCAATCAATGTATGGATATCAGTGTCGCAACTGCAATAAAAAAATTTGATGTTCAAATGTGTGCTATATTATGTAAAGACCTCACCTTTTCATCTTTTCGTCGAAACTTGACAATTCAAGAAAAACTTTTTATAATTACATACTACGCGTACGCTCAAAATTTATGTAATCCACATCCATATAATACTTAGGCAAAATAATTTCAGTCATGATAAATAAGAAAACACCCGCGTGTTAAAATTCGAATGATTTTTAGATAAACTTGCATTGTTATTAGCTTACTTTATTTTATTATGTAAATATTCATTACAAAATAGGTATAAGCTATAAAAGTATTCATAACCGGTAATGTTGTCGTTGTCGTAATAATCATATTCATTATCGTATGGTGAAAATTATTTTTACGAAAGATGTAGATTGTTATGAATTTTACGAAGGAAGAGGGGAGGGATTTGAAACGAAAATGCAACGAGGAGATACACTTTGGCTTTAGCTACCTTATACGTATGAATTGGGTGTTTGTTTATTTGTGCGTGTGTGCGTGGTGTGTATAGAAAATAAATAAGGCGTTTCTCGTATATAATTAACTAGATCATAAATTAACATTTAGTCTTAATGTTACCTATACAATTGTACAATGTATCTTCTCAAATGTTACAATATAATAAACCATTACATATCTTATTTACGACAATACTTCCAATGATCGAGACTCAATTTGTTTTTACACTGGACCCTAAATAAATGTCAGTTTTAAATACTTTTTCACGTTTATTTTACGAGTATTTCATTTTTAATATAAAACTTTTAATGTATTCCCTTCAAAACACAAGTGCTTAATGCTTTATTGTAAATCCATTGGTTTCAAAATAATCGTCTCAATCCTTTTATGAATTTTCAAAATTACTGGAAATTCAGCAAAAATGTTTGCATTATTTGCTTAATAAATCGTATTGTACGTAGTAAATAATGTCTCTATACTCTAATTAACGCCCCGCTGTCTCAAAAAAAAAAACAAAAAACAAAAAAAAACAAAAAGAAAGTTGTAAATCTAAATAAATATGAAGAAATTGATGAAAAAAAAAAGAAAAAAAGTTAAAAACAAATATACTTCGAAAATTCGATCTATTGGAATAGACGAAAGTCGTATTTTAGTCTTAAAAGTATGCTGACATAAAACAAAATGTTGGTAAAGTAATTATCACATACCGAGTTTTAATACTGTTTAGCCCCGACCAATTCAATTCTCTGAAAAATTCTTAAACCTTTATATTTATTATTCCTTAAACAGTATGCTAATGTAAATCTTCAGATCTTACTCACGACAGTAAATTATATATTAATGAATGAATGAATAAATATATATATTGAGAATACCAGTTTATTTTGGCACCTAATTTTGTATATCTTAAATTCTTGGCTAAAGTATTTGTAGAACACTGAATCGTATGTTCGGTTCTCAACATACGAGCAACATCCTTCCTATCACAATACATAAATGATAAACTCATTTTATATGCCCTTGCTTTTGTCATTTCAATGACTCAAAAACACGAGATATTGTACTCCGTGTAATACTTGATTTCCCGGGTGACCAATACTAATACTAACTCGATAGATATCACTCCTATATTAGAAGATCAATTTTATGTCTTTTTTCTTATAGCGAATGCTTACAAAATGGACCTCATCGTAATACACAAGTTAAGGATTAAATAATTGCTCTCATGGGAGTGGACAATAAAGAGAAAGCGAATGCAATTTTGTGTAAAGTACAAAATATCGCTTAGACTTTCGCGTCTACCTACCTTATAATGCACAATTCGCTTTTTCATCGTCTCACGATGATTACAAATTTGGACAAACTCGCCCCAGCAGTAGTAGACACTACATTAGATACACCATAATCATCAAAGTCAAAGCATAATCATGCATAATATCATGGAGTAATATACGGCAATGATATATCGTTAAAAATTCGAAAAATTAAAATATTGTCGTTAAGTGATAATAGAGACAATTATTGCTCGCAAATTATCTTTATCGCACGTCATATCCAGATCCAATACCAACATCCATGCCCCTGAACAAATATTGCTTCTATTGTAAAGGCCAGACTAAGTAACGTAATTTTCAGTAAGGAGAAGATTTTCATTACGCACCACCATTATTCTCGAGACATTTTCAATCCATAGCCAATTGATAAAGTCATTTCCCCTTAGCATATAGAGCTCCGTACAACTAGACTCCAAGTTTTATAAATCGCCAGATTCATAGCGTCCAATGGAAATCCTTAATTTCCAAGCTGAACGGCGTTACGAACGGCAAGACGATCAAGGTTCCAAAGGATTCGAGCACGATGGGCAACCTCGTGCAGAAATATTGGTTCGCAATAAGCGGAAGACGACCATGCCCAACTAACATCGGCAACGGGACAGAGATATTATTCCTGATTGTTACTCTTAGTCGCAGCATCGATCCAAATACTAATATGTTGTAATTAAAGCTATCAAATGACAATTACAATTAGCCATATCGTTGCGAAAATGCTGTTGTCGCCGAGGAAGGGAAATTTATCCGTAT